GCACCTCGACAATCTCTCCGACGAGATCAGGTCAACTAACGCCTGGAAACTTGCAAATTTTTCTTTTTCCGAGTCGACGCCATCAGAAAATGACTACAACCTCCATTCGAAGGTCATTAAACATTCAGACAAACACTTTACAGTGAAAAAAATGGAAAACGGGAGAATATTTCCATTGGTCGAATCAAACTAGCCTACACAAACAGCGAGTTTGAAGCTACATCAACATATGCACAACCAAATAATCAGACAGTTGATTCACCTCCAACGGCACCGATTCTTATCCATCCTCCATATCAAACTCGTAGTGATCGGCAAATCAGTAAACCTGCCCGCTACGTTCATTATGTAGACTGATGAAAAAAAAGTTGCATTTCCTTCGTTTAGACATTACTATCATGACAATTACCATTTTTCGTACACTTTAGTGTCACTGTTATTATAAATGATTATTATCACCATTTATTTATTTGTACCTCAGCTACAAAACAGGTATCTGTGTTTTTCAGTAACGACCTAATTTTTAATCCATTCTTTCCACCCTCACTAATGACTGTATACATAGATATCTTTACACTAAAAATCTTTGTTCAAAGATTTTGGCAAAGAGAAAGCAACCTCATTTAATTGACATGAACATTTATTTCACTTTTTGTTCTTGAACTATTTGTAAATGCGTCCAAACTTTAAACGACCCAAATTCCTTTTCACTTACATGCATGTTATTATGTATTCTTATTATTATCATCATCATAAAATGGTTATTGCTATTATTATTTACTTCACTAACAGTGACAGTCTCCGGTAGTCTTTCCGGACCTCCAAGGGGGAGCCGTGTGGAGTACGTAACAATATGATTGTACACTTTTTGTTGGATGTTGAAATTAGAGACATTGTACATGAAGTTTTTTTAAAAACTATTCATGTTGGAATATAGATAACTTCCGAGTACAGTCTAAAATACCGTCTACTTGCTTCACCCATAACCATGTTGTATACTCTGGACTTTTGCAGGAACCTCATATTCTCATCCGAAGACAGTTCTACAACCGATACACAGTTCTACCAGTACATATGATTCCAGCAGCGAACGCTTCTGTGGATTATATAAATAATTTGTAGGCGTGGACTTTAACTGCACATCCAAGTAACCGATTAATCAGTATAACTCATTACTGTATTTTTTATAATATATTGTTATGCTATCATCTCATTAACTTGGATTTTGCTTCGCAAACTTGTTCTGTTAGTGAGATCACTAGAAAGGCCCCTACACAAGTTTGTTTTGAAGACAGGTTGCAACATTCTTCACACATTTCATCGAATGATTTAATGTAGACTATTATTTTACTGAAAACAAAACACGTAGATCAGCGAAGAGTCTCTTTTCGGCGAATTCATCTTCTTAGCTGTACAATCGCAAATATATATGCATTGTTTTGTATGTATGTGTACATTAAGTTTGTCAAACAAAGTTACAGTCGGTTAAGGTTAATTTTAATTAAACAAGTGAAGTTATTTTACTGAAGATTCTGTACAAGGAGTAGATAAAACACTGAAAATTTTGAATCGTAGGTAAAAGTACCGTTCAAGTCAAGGCGAAGTTCAACAATAGCGTCCCAAGGGATGCGAACTCATGAGTGACCTTGAGCCGACCAATCATAAATTGAGGAATTTTTGCACAAAAGCTGACGTATATTTACAAGAAAATGCATGAGAACACATCTAACAGGGTATCTTTCTCTGACATGACTTAAAAATACGTCCTAGTTATAGTGAGGAGTATCAGTTGCAAAGTTAGACTAGTTTCTGTAAATGAATTCACCGAGGTGACTGGAGATGAGCTGTTTTTGCCAATCGTTTATCTCTCTCATACTGTTTTCCAGTCTTCCCCATAAGCCCTCGGTTGAATTACTATGGTTTTCAGTAAGAGGATCGACGGCTACTTACCAGGAAAATGTGGACAATAACGATCTATTAGAAAATTATTCAAACAGTAATTAAAAAGGTGATCTGTGTGAAATTTGCATCTTAGTTGATGACTAAAGTTGATATTTTAGTTATGATAATGACAGGTGCCGTTAGACAAAGATTAGCATGAGTTCAAGGTCATTTGAGTGTTCGCACTCCTGGGAAGCGATTGTTAAACTACGCGTAAATCAAAACTGCCAAAATTCTCAGCATTATCAAATCCATCGAAATGTTGAATTCACCGCCGCTTATATGCAGGCCAACTTAAGCCGTTTCACAACATACTGTAACGCTTACTGCAATTACCAGACTGTTACCTTGTCCTACAAGGAATAAACAATCAGGCTTGTCGCCATTGTGAGGTGAACGAACCGTAATGAATGTGTAAATTATTGAAAACATATATGCCAAGAGACTTATACAAATGAACAGTACATGAATTCTAACAATAAAATGCTTTTGGGGTAGTGAACATGTGTACAAAAATTCATGAAGAACTTTGAAAACTCGGCTCAAGTAGCACTCGTTTAAAATGTATGGATTTGATGTAACAACATTCTGACAAATACGCTGATTCTCTGTTTGAAGACCGGATCACACGAATCGTATATATATATTTGAAAGCTTGATGAATTAATTTCTAGACGAGTGAGCATTAATTCTTGGAATTCTAGTTTCTTCTTGTCATCGTCACACACCTATACAGAGTTCATTTGTGCTTATTTACTACTATATTCGACAAACTAAAAACTCTTGTCCACTTGCAATGGCATTAAATACTTAGTTTCAAAATGAGTATCAAATAAAACTATTGAAATAAAACAGACTTCGAAAAAGCATGACTTGATAAGACCTCAACTAGCTGAACCACTTCTCTCCCTATCTTCAATCTAGCAGTTGGTACACACCAATCCTGTGACGCCGTCTTGCATTCGACACGAGGTAATCGCATGCCATACATATCAAGATTTATGCTCAAAGTGTTCAGAAGGCCGTGTTCTGTCAGCATCATCGCCTAGAAGAACTACATAGTCTGCGTAATCTAAGTCGACAAGTGTGTCGTGTTAACAAGCAAATCTATAGGTCACTAAATTCGATCAGGGGCACATCTGTTCATACATTTATAATAAGACTGAACAAAAGTGAGGACAACGGATATTCCTGATGGACAGTAGTGGTTATCATCACTTCAGACGAAAACTGCCTCTCCGTAAGCTGTTATACGGATGTGTGGGTTCGAGTAAAGTGTTTTGATTAGTGCGATGCACTTATCCTGGCAACTGCTTAACGGCCAGACATTGCTGTAGCACCTCTCAGTGAATCAAGTCAACAGCTGTCTTCAGTTGATGAAATATGGCAAGTGTTGGAGGCCGGTAAGTACGCCTGTACTCCAGTATCTACCCAAGGGTGAGTGTACCATCCATACACCCTGATATAGGCTTAAAGACCACCGGAATCCGTGTACTTGTGTCTATCAAATGACATGAATCATCGAGAATCCACCAGCATTTCATAGTGTGAGAAGTGATAGTTAGAATTTCACAGTGTTCAGTGGAGTGGGGAAACTACGAAAATTCAATACGCAACGAATTCAATTGTTATAATGTGTAGTTAAAAATGACTGACACTAGTCGCCCTCAATAAAACACTGGGGGTGTATTTCTACTTGATAAATATATCCACTTTCCCATTATTGTGCCAAACATAAGTTTATGCATATTGCATATGACAAAATAACAATAGCAATGATAAAGACACCCATTCAGAGTATTAAATTGACTGACACAGTCGGGAAAAATCTTCTTCATAGCATTCGTGACTCATGATTGATTTCTCCTAAAAATTATATCGCTAACGAATATAATTCAGAAGAGTCTACACGCAACATATACAGGACAGAGTTTAGCAAGTGAATTAAAATTAAACAAAAGTCACTACAGAATGTTTCTCCTAGAACAAGGGAACTTCACTGTTGCTTAGAACGTTCTTACAGCGTCACTTACTAAGCTGGTGCTTGTACGGATATATAAAGAGACGACACAGATTTGAGAGAAATCCTGACTTGTCATACACTTTTAACTAACACTGATGGAAGGAATCCGAATAGACAAACACAACTAAAGTACATTGTAGTTACTCAGAATATAATTCAGAGAAGTAATTTATTTAGATTTGTTAACCTCAGTCAAACGACAGGGCACATGATTCCCGATCTAGTAAGATCAGTTTGAATCGGAAACAGATGACTGATTGTCCAGTTAGGCTGACAGATGAATCATAGAAGTTCACACTTGATTAGGACTAGTAGAAATTCATATTCATATTCATAAAGAATGCTGTCGAATAATTTTGCTTGTGAATTAGAGAACATTTTCATAGCGATCAGCGACAATTGTACTCTGACAGTTGGGCGGGAAACAGCCATGTACATCTACTACTCTCTGGTCTGTTCACATACAATAATTCTGAAATAACGTCATTCTATAGACATCAGACACTATACATATAGCAGCTAACATATAGAGGGCACTATCCCTACTTCTTGTCACTCCACCAATGGTTCGAGATACCTAAATAATGACCTTCATGTCCTATACAATTCTCATTCAAATTACTCCGAGCAAACAATGACACAGAAATAAAATACAGATCTTATGATGAACCACTTCAACTTAGCCGAATTATACACTATGATGAACATGAATTGAGAGAGATATATGTGTATATTTCTGGATAAGAGAGGTGAAAAATTTGTGAACAACACAATAACTTAGATCCCGGCCAAAACGGAGTTGATCCCCTGTCCTCTGAATTTATCTCACAATATCCTCCTCACATTACGCTTATAATCCGTGAAATGCTATTAAAATAACTACGTAGGCGTAAAATACCAAACATATTTGGAAGAAATTATTTCTTGCCAAATAGTTTTCATTTACATTCTTACCTTTACATTCTAACATTGCTAACAGTTGTGGGCATTGCACAATGATAATTCCTGAAAATGATGCAGTCTAGTGTTAATATAGAGTGTAATAAAAACCACTGAAGTACATAATTGTCTTTTTCTTATCAAAAAAGAAGTAGAAATTCTTCGGTGAAAAATATTTTTCTCACATAGATTGGAGAAGGTCAGTGTTGATGAGAATTCAATACTCTTAATTAAATATTCTGTATGCATCGGTCGAATTTTACTATTTTAATTACCAATAATATCAAAGAAGATGTGTAAGGAAATTATTTGCACAGAAAAAGTAAACATCCATAAGATGTGTTTGGTCACTTGAAGGAGCACGAAACAAAGGAAACTTGTGTTTTCTCAGCATTCGAGTACAATTACGATCCCCATCGCAGTCTCCGTCCGTTGCATCCATCATTCCACCATCTACCTGCTTGTGGAACCCAATACGGTCCAAACAAGGGAGAAGTATGTGCTAGTAAACACATAGCGAACTGTGGTTGAGAACCCCAGTCGTGGATAATACCATGACCATGCCAAGCGAAGTATTCATTGTAGGCGGTATCGTTTTTGTCCAAGTAATTCAAGTATTCTGCAAGTTTTGCTGGTGATTCAAACTGATCTACGTGAATAAACGAGTATGGCGGAGCAACCCTTTCGTATTCCTCAATTGAAGCTCCCATCACAATGGGAAGTATATCGTTGCTGGAAAAGATGTAGAAATGTAAAATGTCAGTCGGAATCGTTTGGTGTAGAATATTTGAAAGTGTTTTCACTATCCACTAACTGCGAAACCCCTAAGAATAATTATTATTATTTTTATTATTTCCTTCACGTTCCTCAGTGGAACATAGGGCTTCAAGCTAGAGGCTTGAAGTTTCTGTAGCAGTGTTTATTTTTACAGGATGAGGTTGCTAGCCTAATGCCCAACCTTCCCTCTTCACCAGCCTTATTTCTGGCTTAGTGAGGTAAAGGAGTGCGTCGGCCGGGGATCGAACCCCGGACCATGTGCATGGTCGGCGAGCGTCCTAACCGCTATGCCACCGACGCACCCTAAGAATAATAACCCTCCAAAAACACATCCATAAGAGCACCAATAACTGTAACAACAGGATAAATACGTTTACCGAAGAAACTGTCGATGATTCTGTTGATTTCTGCGTTTCTACTGGATACTTATTCATATAGTGTAGTGTCTCAGTAGCCTTTATGCATTTGTTTGACTGAGGATGGTGCTGAAGTTCTAGATGGTTAAATTTAGGATGCGTTAGAGGAAACTTGATGGTATTCAGAATTTCAGCTTACTGTGGCAGTATGCTAGTTTCTCAGCAAGATACAGCTTCGAATCTTTAGCTTTGGTTACTTACTGAATAAGTCCTTCTCTTATCTCTCATTTTTTAAGACGACAGTGCTTGAGTACTAATAGGATGAAAATGTAATAACACTGAAACCTGACAGACGACCAGGTCCAGCAGTAACCATGAATAAGCGCCACTACTCAACTCAGATGGGATGACTCAAGAGAATTTCATAAATTAAATATCGGTGAAGATGCAACCGAGACGAAAGATCACAGAACTATCACTGATTACTGTTTTCAGGCACACGTACACTCAGACGGTATCGTTTATTATGAATGATGCATTTACTTTCGTAAAAGTCGTCAAAAACCTCAGTGTCAATCGAAAACAAACGACTTCACTGGATATAACATCCCTGCTTAGTAACGTTCCACTTCTTTAATTGATTAGTCTCATAGGAGATAGCTGATAGAACGGAAGGTGGAAATAAGAATTCCCCACAAAACGGTCAAGGGATCACTGTCAGAATGCACAATTAATGTTTTGTAAAATGTTCTATAAAAACAGGTTTCATAAACAAGTTGACGGAGTTGACATGATTTCACTACACGTGTGTTTGAAAACACCGTTGATAAGCTTGACTGTTGTCAGTGGCACAGCGGTTAGGAATCTCGCCGACCATGCAAATGGTCTGGAATTCCGTGTGAATTCAAAACAACGCTTGGCGTGATCACGAGCAGTAATATTACCAAAACACAAAAACTTATCACTGTGTGTAAACTACGGAAATATAATTATAATTTATATGTGTATAGCATTCAAACACTAACATCAACAAATACAATGTCTGTATCACACCACCACACTATTATTTCAGATAATTATAATTTCGTGACGTTTCAAATTCAGTTTATTATTATAAGACAGATCAGTGAACAAAGAACACTCTTTTCGATAACTTCCACATCAGGTTCTACAATTGTATACTCATAATTATTTTTCACAGCACTAATGTTTTTAAACAAAAATGAATCATTAACATCCGAATTCCCAGAGGTATATGTGAATAGACTGTTCTGCATATGTAAACAAAGAGTCACTTTAACATGCGATCGCAGATTAAAAGTGACAAACCAAGTGAAGCAGTAATCAATAAGCTAAGGAAATCAGTTCCAAGAAGCCTTAGTCTCGGTGAATTGTAACTCATATTTTCTACACGTCCGGTTGTGATTCCGAAATTAGGAGATGAAGTGCTTAGGCTAACAATCACATCTTCCTGTATTTATCAATTCAACTGTTCCTGTAAAGCAAAAGATGTTGACCGGTGCTCTTGGAACTTCGATTTTCATGCCCGACAATGCCTACCAGTGTGGGCGAAAATGGTGCAATGGAAAACATTGGCAATTTAATATTAACGCACGTGGTCCGAACAAACAGTTCAAGAGAATCGTTTTCTGTCTTCTCTCGCGTAATAAATAAACTACCAACAGGTACCGAATATGCCAAATAGCAAAAAGCATAGCAATTCACTCAAAACAGCCGGGAATTTGTGTACTAAAGAAATAAGTCCAGCCACTAGTGCTTCCCTAGCCTGCTGTGCAATCTATAAATTCATAAATAATGTATTACATCGTAACTTTTAGGTATGACCTTCCGTCCCATGTGTATAAATTCTCTCTGTCCCTTGTTTGTGATTGCACTTGTACAAACTAATCTTTGATTTTCCAAATGTAGTCTTAGATAATCATTTCCATACTTAAATATATATATATATATATATGTATATATATATATATATACAAACATCTACCTAGTTTTCTCTTTCGGTTTCCGATATTATCGTTCATTCATATGAATTTTATAATCAGTCTGAATAAAATCCAATCACGAGTATATATAACCATATTTTTATATTTTATTTTATTATTCCCTTGCATTCCAAATGGAACATAAGGCTTCAACAACACATCTCCATCTTGTTCCAGGCGGAGTTCTGTATCCAGTGTATCTTTTATTCTCCCCAGGATGGTGCGAATTAGTATTTTACCTGTCGTGGACAAGAGCATTATTCCACGCCAGTTCTTGCACAGCCATAAGTCGCCCTTCTTTGGCAGTTCGACGGTGTAGCCCTTCTTCCAATCAGTAGGCACCTTTCCTCCTTTTCAAACTTTTGCAGTAATGGAGAGAGAATATCTGCCGTAATCTCTGGGACTGCCTCCAGTTCTTCGGGAGAGGTGCCTTCTGGTCGTGCTGCCTTCCTGGACTTCAGTGGCTTGATCGCATTTAGGATTTCTTCTTCCGTTGGCTAAGTGGTGTCCACTGGCATTACCGTGCGTGTTGGTAGTGGTATTTCTGGACGAGTTGACAGTAGTGGTCGATTCAACAGTTATTTAAAGTGACAAGCCCATTGATTGATTTGTTTCTCCTACGTGGTGATCAGGTTCCCTTGAAAATCTTTTATTGGTTTCATCATCTAGGTTGATCTCTTCCCAGATAGAGACTTGGTTATCTGATATAATGTCCTGATATCTCTTTTGCCCGCGGCCTGTTCTGCTTCAGTTGCCGGCCAGTGTGCCGTAGAATTGTCGTTTGTCTTTCCTAGCCCTCCTCTTCGCTTCTTTATTCAGTGCAGTGTGCATTGAACTCAGCTCCTCCTGCTGTTGTCCATCATTGCATTGAGTAGTCACCTTTTCTTTCACCATCTTCCTCTCCTCTCCTCTCCTCTCCTCTGTTAGCTTCCAGGTATCCGTTGACAGCCATTCCTTGCCTTGTCTCCTCCTTCTTCCTAGAACTGTTGCACACGTTTCCTCGAATATCGATTTCAGGGAGTTACTTTCAATGTTCTTACACGCAGGTTTTCTCAGTGATGCCATGTAGTGTGTCTGACCTTGCTCTGAGCTGATCTGCAGTGAAGCCATCCCTTGTAGTTTTGTCCTTCGGTTTCTGAATATTGAACTTGCATTATGGTCTGTTTCCAGTTGTTTTCATGGATTTCAGTTTCACCTTGAAGGTTCCTTGAACTAGATGATGATCTGAGCCCACATCTGTTCCACTTCTCGAATTCGTGTCCAGCAGGCTAGTAGCGTCTCCACTTCCTTGAGCAGCTTTGAGATGAAGGCTATCTTGTTTGTGGTGTGTCCGTCAGACGAAATCCATGTTGATTTGTGTGTATCCTTGTGCTTGTACACGCTGCCTGCAATCACCAAATCGGTGAAAGAACAGAAGTCTGCGAGTAATTCTCCGTTCTCATTCACTTCCTTGAGCGAGCGAGAGCCTCTCAACACATGATGAGTTCTCTTCCTGCATTATGTGCTCCCACTTCGGCGTTCATATCGCTCATGAAGATTGTGAAGTCACCACTTGCAATGTTACCCATTACTGTTTGTAGTTGTCTGTAGAAATCCTCCTTCTTTTCTTGTTCCGCGTTGTTTGTAGCACTGTGCGTAGGATTGGATAATTGTGACCTCCCCTCCTTTTGAGTTGAATCTTGCTGTCATGATCCTGCAAGAGGAAATTGGTTCCAACTGCATTAGGGTTTTGGCTGATGTCGCTGACATCATGTTAGCCACTCACTGTCTCAGTGTGTTTGTGGTTGTCGTCTGGGTGGCTGGAGTAGATTATTGACTCTCCCGTTGACAATTTTGACAATCCGTAACCATTCCATCTGCTCTCGCAGATACCCAGTACTTCTAAGCCATATCTTTGCATCTCTTTGGCTACCTGGACAGCCTTCTCAGTCTCGTACATTGTACGGACATTTCATGTACCCATTCTTACTCTTGCTTTCATCGAGAGAAGACACGTCGGTTGGCTGACTGGCTTCCCGGAGGCTTTCACCAAACTGTTTCGTGATTTCGCCTCTCCAATTCGACCAAAGAATGAGATTTATTCGAATTTTTGTATTTTTAATATAGTGTTTGTGCGAGGTTTGTAGGTGTAACTAATGAATATGACCTATGGGTAGCTGCAAGCTCGAATAATTTGTCAATGCAGGCTGAAACAACACTGCATCAACGTGACTATTTGTACTTTTAATGCGAACTATAGCTGTTAGTGTTAACTGTTGGAGAGTAATAGCACTTGTATTCTCACATCTGATGTAACATATAACACATTTTTTATGTCAGATAGACCTTTGAACATTTGCAATATATATCTAGTTATGGATGAATACTTTCCGAATTTTACAGGAAATGCCTTTCTTATTTTTGTGCATCATGTATTGTATTCTCGAAAAGATTTGAAATTCTGCCTCTGTGACTGTACCAGATATTGCGTGTTCGGATCAATTTCATATACTCCTGAGTACATGGGTGATTATATGTTCCACTGATATTACTGACAATCGAGTGTGAATTATCAGGATTTAATGCAGAACTTGGTGCACAACGCATGCACTTTGAACTGAGGAGACAAGAGTTACTAAAATCAGTATGCATTCATGCTTTTTCATTTGTGGACCAGGTTGGTTGGATTCTACGTTTCTGACTGAATGTCCGCACATATATGACAAGTTTATATCGAAGAATATGGATTTTATTGTCTACTCAGCGAAATTTAACATCGTTATGTGTGTTCCAACTGACTGTTCTTCATTAGATGTCCTCCTCAGCTCAGCTATTTTCCGTATACAGATGATGTCTTTATCCATTCGGACAGCTCACTGGAAAGGAAGAACAAGGAAACAGTCTATCTAACCTAGATGTCCTCCTAACTTAGAAGATATACTGATACTTAGAGAGGAATATAAAGATTTTCGAACTGGAGAATAAATCCATTTCCATAGTCTCATACTGCTTGAAGACTGAAGATACCTAGTAGTGTCTTAGCGACAGAACAAGAAATACATTTTCCGACAACTGTATACATTAAGACATGTATAAACTGAAGTGCACATCACAGGCGTGTGCATGTCGAGACCCAGAAAGGGGATAATTGTGGACACTGTGTATCATGGAATATTGCATCATCACAGATTAACTTTCAGAGATGCTATTGTAGTTGATTTCCTTAAGTGCTAGCTGAACAGATCTGTTGAGATGACATTCACCACGTCTAAATTTGCACTCATCTGCTTAACCAAACCAGTGATCACACAGCAAGTCAAGGGTAAATCACCGATGATGGCCTTTTCAGTGCACATCTAATAGTTCAACTGCTCATGTAAGGCTTGTTACACAGAACGCACTCAGAGAGCGTTTTGGAAGCGCTCACATGAATACATACCAGTAACCAGTATAGTTGAATAAGTGGGAAGCTACGTGCAAAAATAGCACAGTTCTGTGTCACTTGCTGGACAGTGAATATCAGTGAAGACAACTCAGGTGATAAACTGTGCTTCCCCTAATCTATCAAGAAGAGTTCAACGAAATCTCTTATAGGTAGCGTAGCCAGAGAGTAAGAAAATAATACCGAGACATCTTATCTCTGTGTCCAGAACAAATATGTTCAGCTTACTCGTTTATCCTGTCGTACAACAAGATAAACACATTCCCTATGAACATACGTTAGAAATTAATATTCTAAGCTCCTTTCCCATGTTCTTCCTCTCTTTCTCCTGTATCACACAGAGACACTATTGTAACAGCAAAAGGCAAGACACGCAAGTAGAGGTGCATTTTCACTTGATGACGCCGCTACTTACATACACAATTTATATTCTTTCAACCAATCACTCAGCCTGTTGTTTTGTTTACAATATATATAAACTTCTACTCAATTTTCTCTTTCGGTTTCCGATATTATCGTTCATTCATATGAAGTTCATAATCAGTCTGAATAAAATCCAATCACGAGTATTTATTACCTACCATATATCCGTCGTTATTCATGATCATTTACTTTGAAAATCTGATGTTCACTTCAGTGTTACATTTATGAGTATCTTCATACACACATATTTTGAACTATTCACGTCTTCTCTCACCCCTGATTACAACCCACATCTCATGACCTCCACGCCTGTTGATCATTAATATAGAAACAGTCATTCTGTTGTGGTTAGTTTTCATCTCATGCTTTTGTTGACCGTGCACTGAGCGTGCATTTCAACGGTAATTAGAATTAACTGACTATTATTCATTCTTCCACTCCTACTACAATACAGTTTCTCCCAATCAGTAGGCACCTTTCCATTCAAACTTTGTGCAATAGTGACGTGAGCACATCCGTTGGGATCTCTGGGTCCGTTCTCAGTGATGATTGGAAGAAAGACTACCTTGTCAAACTATCAAAGAAGGGTGACTTGTTTAGGCCTCTGCAAGAACTGTCACGTAACCATGATCTTGTCCACGCCAAGTAAAATACTAAGTCACGTCATCCTAGCGAGAATAAAACATGCACTGGATACACATCTCCACCAGTCGGAACAAGCTAGATTCAGGAAAGGTAAATCATGTGTGGATCAAATCCCAGCTCTACGCATCATCATCGAACATGGCATTGAAAGGCAATCAAACCTGTACCTCAATTTCATCGAGTTTGAAAGGCCTACGACAGCGTTGACTGAGAAGTAATTTGGAGACTACTTCAACACTATGGTGTGCAGCATCCAAATCTTTATCAACCTCATCCAATAGCTGGTTAAGTGAAAATTCCACTTGTCAGGTGACTAAGAACGGAAACCTCAGCAAGGTGTTTGAAGTGAATACAGGAGTAAGACAAAGCAGACTACCTATTTTCACTGATGATAAACCTAAGTGTGGTGGACTGGATTATACACCAGACTGTGCACAGCGAGTGAGAAAACAGGAATTTTGTTCATATTCACCTCTAACTTCAGACTGTAACATTATGGGTAATTTTCATGGAACCATAGATTTGACCACTATGTCATCATTTTAAGTACCACCAAAATAGCGTTGTTCTGGAAAAATATGTTGTATTACAAACGTTTGCAGAAGAAGTATGGCTTGCAGCTTTGTGAAAGCGGATCTATATTGAGCATTAGAGCCTCTGTGTACTCTGAGGTTATCCATAATCTTTTCCAAATGAAATGTTTACATTGTTAAGTGTCATAGGCACATATCACAACAGTGATATGTATATTGGAATGCAAATTAGGCGCTGTATTGTACCCTTCAAATTATCCAATGAAATTCAGACCTATAATGATGACGACTATATTTGTGGATATATGTTTCAGGGGTATTTCAGGAATTTACATTTGATGGCAAGTAGAATGACTTATCGGTTCTATCTCTCGCGTGACAGATAAGTTGATTCCCGCAGTAATTATACCGTTGCTAATCATCATCAATGGGAAGACTAACTTAATCAAAGATCAACTAGATAGCAAGCCGAATTTAAACAATCACAAATTAAGGAGATGAGGAAAACGTTCAAAAACATACAATAAACAACTATAAAGCTCTTGATTTGAATTTTCAGTCTAAAATATCACATCAAATTTTATCATCGGGTGTGGTCAAAATGACTTGGAATCTAAGGCTTTCTCGTAAGTATATGGATGTGAAGGCCAAGACATCTTGGAAATTTGATGCCAATACAACCCTGCTTAGATATAAGTTGTGACATCGTTATCATAACTTTGATTAACCGATCCTGTTATACTGGCACGCATGCGAACATACTAAAATAGGTGTAGACTGTTTCAACTACAAAGAAAGTTACTTAGTGGGAAAATTCTTTCAGAAAGACAATTAAAATGAATTCATTTAAGAATCGAGACAATTTAGATTCATCCGTTCAAAAACAGAAGTAAACATTTAAAAGTGACTTACTTGAGGGCATTTCTGTAGAGTTTCTCAGTTATGTACTCCGAACACAAACTGTTCTCAAAGCTCAAATAAAATTTGTAGTTTTCACGAATCGTACTTAAACATTCAGGCGTTGAAGCAAATGTTGCTTTATTCTTCGGACACGATTTCGTGCCACATCCACCGTATATGTCAACCTATGAGTCGAATAAAACCCAACCATAAAATATTTATTAGAAGAAAGTAACCGGTAAGAGAACAATGTAATGACTCAGTGAAGAAACAAGTTCACTACTACTGCGTACTGTCCATTTTCGGAGCAGATAGTTTTGCACATTATCGTTTCAAACAAGCAGGTTTCATGTGGCACATCAATAAACAAAACACGAAAACTCAGTCGGTCCTATAAGAAATGTTAATAGAAGTGACATCTAAATACTTCCATCACCCACTAATGAACAGATAAATCTACCGAACTTGTTGTATAAAATTGCATGTATGATGATATATCAAAGTGGAATTCCTATACCTGTTACACATAAACAGTTATTACTGCACTGTTTTAGTTGGACATAACTTTAAAAAACTAGTCAGATGTCAATGTATAGGGAGATACATGTTCATTTTCTACTTAGTGAACCACTTTGCACATGTTTCTAATGCTTTCTTTCATAGCTGTCTAGTCGCTACTTATATGGTCAGTCAGTATGAAGCCATTAAAGGCACCAAAGACGATTATTCGACAACAGAAATTTACCATACGAAAGCAAAAACATGGTTCAGATTGTGAAAGTTATGAGCGGACGTGTAAAATGAAGCAGGATGATGATGATTATGACACGAAAATATAGACAAAAATGGGCAATCACTCACGGATATATGTCGAGATAATTCCTTGGCATATGTCATTCTAGGGCTCTTCGGTATACAGTTACTTACAAACCACGCCACTTTTTTAGATCTCCCAGCCGCAATGTTACGAGAAGGTAGTGGATATCTCGTCTCTGGTCCGTGAGTTTTGATATGTGGCTCATAATAACCATACGAAGAATAAACTGTTGAGTCGAAACGATAAGATATGGTAAAGTTCACCTACAAACACAACGTAGAGAATGAAAAGAAAACCCAGTGTGAATGTGAATAAATATGTTGAAGTAGGTAACACGAGTAGGTGACTCTAGCTGTAGTTCACAGTACCACTGACATGCTGTAAACAGTCAGCCTTGAGCTGTTAAGTAAACTAACGCAAGTGGAATGTGGGGTTTGTAGAGCAGTCATTAGAAAGCAGACACGTCTGACGGAGAACCTTAGCAGACTGAAGTGTAAACAATCCGGGAATTACTATTGTCCGTCATCTTGGAAATACATGCAAGTAAACAATTTCAGGTATCCGATAGGCCGAAATTTTCACATGTAAAACTACCAGTTAGGCCAATTTTAAATGTTGGTATCATTCACAGTCGTGAAAATACAAGCCAGTGAATGATAGGAAAAGTAAACCAACCAATGGCCATCGTAGGCAGTTTCACCGACACTGAAATGCCAGATTCATCTATCTCTACGGTCTTATCCTTGGTGTAATTGGTAAGACAGAATATTATCTCTGTAGACTAAACTTGAAAAGTACACAATGTGAGCTACTCCAATAGATTCGTGATGAACTTGAATCATGATTCTCGAAAGACTGTGCTGTTGAAAAATATCTGACTAGGTATCTTAAAAAACACTACAGCTCAATTTGTTCAAACATAATGTTGTCAGTACTGAAGGTGTCAATGAGCTTTGCAGTTAACATATTGAGGATCAAATACGAAATCTAGGAGAACTTCAAACAATCCAAACATGCCTGTTACACTTGAATTTATTCCAGACTAGAAGAATACCTACAATACAATTTGAACTTGGCCCAAAAAGGTGACACTGGCAAATTATTTAAATTCCACTACCCAAAGAAGAGTATGGACTTAGTGCATTTAAGTTATCTACAGAAATAGAAAATCGCCTATGAACTAACCTCTGAAAATAAAACAACGAGTTGTGTGTGTTGTCAGTTATAAATTCACATTAAAATGTGTCTGAAAATATCATGGTGTCTGTTATTCAACAAACACTGTGAATTTAATCAGCAACAGGAGTGCATTCAGACACTACATTTATTAGGGTTTAAAATGTGTTTCCCCATGACTTGAGAAACACTTTAGAAGAAAGTGTTGACTGAAAACACATCTTCCTGGATGTGTAATACAATCAACAAGGTGAGGGAATTAAATTTCGGCTATGTTCAAGTCAGACATGCTCTACAACTTTCTGCGCTCGGTCACAGTTTCTCATCTCTCTATATTCAGCAGTTTATTTCACAGTAAATATTGAAATAATAATAATCGCAGAGATTACTATTTCTAACCTCATTCTTCAGAGAGTTTGCCAATGGGACATGTAAAGGAGATTCATGTATTAGCGCAAACCATAATTGTCCTGGTGGACGTACGCCATCTGGCAGTCCCGATGTTGTAATTATTAATGCATCAGCCTCTCGCCATCTTTCCACTTCATTAATGACATCACACTCCTTCGCATGACAGTGGGAAAAATTCATAGGTGTAAAAATTCTTCTTCCTTAAAATCTAAGAAACTTCTTCACCTATAACATGAAAAGAAGTAAACAAAGATATCCCGATCAAGATCTTCATGAATAATCACTGATCTGTTTAGTCATGCATTATTCGGAGAGAATATCACCGATAGCATGAATGATACACATAGCAATGAGAAAGAAGACTTAAAATGACGTTGAAAGCACTGTCTAAACACTTTACAAACACCTCTGACTAGATGTAACGCTTCGATAATCAACATAACAACAATTCTCACAAAGAAACACCAGCATGATAACATCACCTGCTACCTAGACTATGGTGTTCAATGTCAGTCAGTGAGTGTCCTTTCTATGTTATTTCCGATTACACTGACAGGCTTCAGTAAGGAGATGAAATAAAGTCTTCTTACTGAAGCATGCATGCTACGGAGAATGGAGATTGAAGTGATTGAATAATACTTGATTTGACTAGTGGCAGTCTGTGAAGACTAATGCTATACACTCAGAGTACTTCCAAGTGCAGCAGTGTATAATGGACACTAAAAAGTATTCCCGAACAGGGAAATAAACAAGAACTTGCAAGTTTAATGTATACAAACTGCATTCTAAACAATTATCAGCATTTGAATACGGTAATTAGAAGACAAATTTCTCGAGATGATATTATTTTGTAGTTTCTCTATAGTCGCCTCACAAATAGCGTCGTTCACAATAATAAAATGAAATGCCTGACACTTATTCAGTTATATTAAACAAAAGTACATACTAAGGACTAATCATATTTAAATGGGTCAAGTAGTCCATGGTAGGTGGAGGTTGAAGTCTATTGTTTTTTTTCGGACTATGCGTACATAGTTCAGGATGTATGTGATTAAACCAAAGTGTTCCGATCACCTTTAATAAACTTGAATTAGAGTTGACTGAAATAGTTGTTAAGCTGTCATCAATATTGATTTTGTGAGCTGACATTAATAAGCAACAGCCTACCAATGAATATTCTTGGACGAATACGTTTAGTTCACAGACCACAGTTTCTCCAAACTTAATAAAGTAATTAAGCATTGTCGTAAATTTAACATTATGTTTTAGATTGCTAAAACCTGAGTACAAGTTGAGAAGTGTATGATATAGTATCTTGTCAATATCGTTGTCATGGCCACATTTATGTTGACTTTATAATGTTTTGGTGTTTGATGCAGAATTTGAGATTAACATTGCTAAGATAGAAGAGTTAACTCACTTTCTTTTCTTCTTTTATTGTGTCATACAGCTGTTTCAACCTTTCTTCTTCTAAACTAAAATACAGGGGATATTTCTGAACAGCTAATCTAGTCTGAGTAGAATATGTTTTGTGTAGGATAGCAGCTAAGTCAGACCGATTAGCATATGAACCATATTCGTTCGGAAGTATTGACTCATTTATTCCTGACGATATGAATCTGTTTCCTGGTTTTGAATCCAAGAAATATGAACTAGGTGCAAGAATTATCAGCCAGATAATCAGGAGTACAATTAACACAAGAGTAATTGATTTGCACTCTTGAGAAGCTTTGATCAACATCAGTATTAGTTTTAACAATTGCAACGAAAAAATCAGAATTTAGCACATTTCAACGTTACCGAAGAGAAAGTAGTGAGGCCATCATCTGCAAAATGAACAAGAATAAGCACACGATTTATCTGTAATTGAAGACAAAAGGTTATCAAAGTACGCTCGGTAGAGAATACAGAGTATAAATGTGGGAAGATTTCTCGGAAGGCATATTTGATAATGTCTCACAAATATTGCTCATATCTGTTCTCTGAACATACCTTAATTAAGGACCAAAACAGACATTTTAAGTCAACTTTAGTAATAGGCAGTGTTCATTATTTCGTGACATCAAGTTACTGATTTGTGAAAACTCACAGTTTATGATCTTAGGAAAATTCAATGGATTTTCATGAGATTTGAACAATACTGCTGTCTTCAACTGGCACAGAAAAGTACTAGAGTAGATAAACCTACCACGAACTAACTATTGATATACGTCTCGGTTTAAATTAATAGCTTTAGTTTCTTGACTGTCGAATTTTCATGAGTTTATTGACCTTCGTAACACTCATTTTCATTACTGCATGTAATACTTGATATCAATCTGTTAATTCGTAATCTGTCATTTTAAACGGCTATATTTAAACAATGATTCATCAGATTTAATGTAAACACAGCTAGTTTCTTCTAGTTTTTTGATAGTTAGGCCACATCAATGATCTGAAGAAGTCCAATGCTTACAATAGATGAAGCTTGTTCTGTATAGTGATGGCTTAACATAACATTCCACTACGAACCTCTACACCTAAGGCATATCAACTATTACGAACGAATCGAATATTTTCAATAATCGATTAAATAATCAATAAAATTTCGGATTATTAATAAGTATTTCCAATCAGATAGTTGAAGACGAAATAGTTTATGAAGTGACTGAATAATTGATCGAAAAGTTGCAATATTCTTTCTGATTTATATATATATATATATATACATATTCATTGAGACTACTTTGATTTTGAAATAATTCTGTTGCTAACCGAAGTTAATTGAAGAAGCACCAAAAATCATGAAGCATTGAAGAATTGTTTCTCTCTCGCTGAACACTATTCAGCAGTGAGCACTCATATCCCTACGAGTAATCTAACCTAGAACCTCTCAACTAATCAGTTGGAATCCACGGGCCCATTGACTCCTAGAGTACTAATAAGGATCTGTGACTTGTTTGAGTCATTGAGTCACCTGAGAACTCATGTACTCAGAGATGACACTGAGTTCAACTAGAGCTGCGTCACAAGCTGACAGAAGAAGGAATTCATATGACATGGAATAGATAAGCGTACTACTTTCTTAACCTGAATGTTATGAGATCACCCACTTGTACGCTCATACTGAGTATTCTCCAGTCAGAGAGTAACATGTGTTCAGTGATCCATAATTTTCAATAGTTTTTCAACTTATTTGCGCTCATGATGAAATTCCCCATGCTTTGAGCCCTCATAGTTCCATTTCAAAAATTTCGTATTTGTAGCTTTCTTCTACAACCCAGCAAATGTCACAATTAACATAGACTCTAATGAACAACATTCGTTGCTACAAAACATTTATGCTGACCAACAGGACTACTGTAGGTACCCAGTAGGCTTTTCACAAATCTGGATTCGTATTTTGCTACAGGATATCATTTTCAACCTCTGCGTTTTAATCTCCAGTTATCCTTTACAGAGCCCTAACTCTTATTTCAAGTGACTGATTCTAAACAGAAAACCATGTATGTCTATTTGTGAATACTTCTGATATATGAGGAGTGTTTGCCAATAATATATAGTCCGGTATCACATTTAATTGTCTCTTCAAGTGAGCGATTTAAGTACATCTTAACTAAAGTATTCTCTTAAGCCAACTGAATTTATCCAAGCACAAAGCTGTTTCATCATTCAATTCCAAACATATGACACCAATATGAATGTCAAATTATGCGGATTAGCGTCGGTGATTCTTGGAGGATAACATTTGTCAGCACTATGTGGATAACTTGTATAGATATAAGTGTCAGAGAAAATTTGCACAATTTGATCACCATCAGAATAAAACATTAGGAAACGAACAAGAGCACTTATCAGAGTAACACACACACACACAAACTATGCCATGATGACTTCTCAGTAGTTTCATTCTTGTTACCACATAGGACAGCAGCCCCTTACTATTTGAAGAAACTATCAGTCCGACCATTTTAAATCCATCACATCAAAATGATTTTATCTAGGTATGTAAATTAATGAGCGCATTATATATATATATTATTATTATTTCCTTTAATTCCTAGAGGAACATAGGGCTTCAGCCATGCCTCTCCATTGCGTTCGGTTCTCTGCTGTAGTTTTCACCTGGCTCCAAGTCTGCCCACACGCTTTCAATTCCTCTTCACATGATCTCCTCCAGGTTACCCTTGGACGACCAACTCGTCGCTTCCCTTTCGGGTTCCACTCGAGAGCTTGTCTAGTGATGTCACTTGCTGGTTTCCTCAGAGTGTGTCCAATCCATCTCCATTTCTTCCTGCCTATTTGTTTCACGATCGGTTCCTGGTTGGTTCGCTCCCAGAGATCTTTGTTGCTGATCCTCTCTGGCCATTTGATCTTGAGTATTGAGCGAAGGCATTTGTTAATGAAGGTCTGTAGCTTGTTTGAGCTGCTCTTTGTGACACGCCAAGTCTCTGATCCGTATAGTAGTACTGACTTCACATTGGAGTTGAAAATACGGATCTTATTTTTAACGCTGAATGCTGTTGACCTCCACATAGACTTGAGAGAAATGAAAACTTGTCTTGCTTTTCCGATTCTGGCTTTGATATCCTCGTCAGTTCCTCCTGTAGTTGAGACGATGCTTCCCAGGTAGGTGAAAGAAGTTGTTTCCTTCAGGTTCCTCCCATTTATGCTGATTGTTGTCGGTTGTTGCTGTTGATGTTGGCCAGGAATCTTCATTACCTCTGTTTTGTCTATGTTCACTTGAAGTCCTATCTTTGCTGCTTCTTCTGCCAATTTGTTGCTTTTCACTTGCATATCTTCCAGTTTGTGGGAAATCAGACATATATCATCGGCGAAATCCAAATCCTCCAAGGCTTTTGTGTCGGTCCATTTTATGCCTGTTCCCTCGTTGGTTGCCGTTGTCTGCCGCATTATCCAATCAACTGCAATCAGGAAGATCATTGGTGACAGTAGACAGCCTTGTCTCACTCCCGTCCTCACTTCGAAGGATTCCGTGAGCCTCCCGTTGTGGATTACTTGGCATGCAGCGTTGTCATACAGCTGTTGGATGAGATGTATAATTGTCGGCGGCACCCCGTAGTAGCGAAGTAGTTGCCATATCACCTCTCGATCGACGCTGTCGAAGGCTTTCTCAAAATCGATGAAGTTGAGATAGAGAGGTGACTGCCATTCCAAACTTTGTTCAATGATAATCCGTAGGGTGGCGATTTGGTCAATGCATGACTTGTTCCTCCTGAAACCGGCCTGTTCCGGACGAAGTTTTTCATCTAGGGCTTGTTTAATTCTCTCCAGGATGATGCGACATAGTATCTTGCTTGGAATGGACAGAAGCATAATTCCACGCCAGCTTTTACATTGACTCAAATCTCCTTTCTTTGGCAGTTTGAATAAGTATCCGTTCTTCCAATCCTCGGGTACTTTGCCCTCTTTCCACACCTTCTCTAGTAGTGGCGTCATCAAGTCCGCTGTTGTCTCTGGGTCTATTTTCAAAGCTTCTGCTGGGATTCCATCTGGTCCTGGCGCTTTCCCAGCTTTTAGCATCTTGATGGCATTCAGGACTTCGGATTTCGTCGGAGGGTCGATGTTCATTGGTAGTTCTGCTTCCGTTGTTGGTATTGTTGGACGCGTTGTAGGTGGCGGACGATTTAGAAGTCTTTTGAAGTGTTCAGCCCAGTGCTTCCTCTGTTCCACCTCTTTGGTGATTGACTTTCCATTGTCGTCCTTTATTGGCTTAATCTGTGTCGAACTTTTGCCCGAAAGGTGCCTAGTTGTTTGGTATAGTGTAGCGAGGTCTCCTTTGCCTGCAGCTTGTTCTGCTTCGTTTGCCATGGTTTCACAATATTTTCTTTTGTCTTCCCTGGCACTTTTCTTCACTCTTTTGTTCAGTGCATTGTAGCTTGCACTCAACTCCTGTTTCTGTTGCTCGTCGGTGCACTGGATAATCTTTTGTTTCGCCACCCTTCTCTCTTCTATTAGTTTCCAAGTGTCCGTAGAGAGCCACTGTTTGTCCTGTCTCTTTTTTCTGCCTAGGACTTCCATGCAGGTTTGACTCCACACCGTTTTCAATTTGTTCCAGTGCTTTTCGACGCTGACCTTTTCGTTGGTGTTGATTTGTGTCTCGGCTTTTTCCCTTATGTTTGCAATGAAGATGTCCTTTGTAGCCTGGTCCTTCAGCTTTTGAGTGTTGAACTTGGCTTGTGGTCTATTTGCAGCTCCTGTTTCCCTGAAAGCTTTTAATTTGATTTGGATTGTCCCTTGTACGAGGTAGTGGTCTGAGCCAACGTCTGCTCCTCTTCTTGCTCTTGTGTCCAGTAGGCTGCGTCTCCACTTCCTCGATATTGTGATAAAGTCAATTTGGTTTTTGGTTCGCCCGTCTGGTGACATATATATATATATATATATATATAAAATTTTCAGTAAATCCATTGGCTTCTATTTGCTCGTTAGCATCTTAACAGTTCATGATAAAATCAGATCAGATATTGTCAACGGAATTTACAAAGAAAAACTTGTTGGCTTTAAAATTAAAAATTGCAAAATTAGTTCCCTATGCAAACTCTTTCAAAAATGACTGCGGCTGAAACGATGTAACATTCCATACATTCTCCATAATGATGTTGCTGTCACGGATGAGGCAGGCATAGCTGAATTCCTTAACAAGCATTTTTCTGATTCATGCACGCACGATCATTCCGCTTGCATCAGCTTCGACTCTGTAACAGAGAAAACACCATCAGATATATGCCCGACGGTTGATGTTATAAAAATTGCAGTAAGTTCATTGAAATTCTCCAATAATGTAGGATATGACTCAGTTCCCTGACTCCATTAAATCCTTTCGCTT